ATCACTAAAATAATAATAAAAATTTACTTTCAATAATTCGGCAGAATCTGTTCACATCTATCCATCTGTATTATTTATGTATGTCTATAATAAATAATAGTTCAAAAACTTCTTCAAAAATGATAAAGTTAGTATGAAAATAAAATAAAAATCTTGCACAGCACAGCACGTACTTAATTTAGCTCAATTTTTTTATAAGATTTTTATTAACGGTGCTACCAAAATGAAATTTCTGCAATGAAATTTTGACATTTAATTTAACGTATAGTATTTCAACGGAACATCGACTGTAACATTTAGAAATGTAGAGCAACAAACTTTTCTAAGACAAATAAGATGTCNACACTACATGTTCAAAGTAAAACTAGAAAATAGTGTTTCGTATTTTCTTTGTCAAAAGAGCTTGTAGACTCTGGAGACATCTTATTTGTCTTAGAAAAGTTTGTTGCTCTACATTTCTAAATGTTACAGTCGATGTTCCGTTGAAATACTATACGTTAAATTAAATGTCAAAATTTCATTGCAGAAATTTTATTTTGCTAGTAACGTTACATGACCACACCGTTGACGATTCTACATGAAAAGTAATTTGAATGAATATTGATTAATTTTTGCATCTGGAGAAAATTTTATTATACATGACAAATAAAACTTTTTTCAATAAAATTATTAATAATATATTATACGATATCCAGTAGTTTTTTTACTACGAAAAATCTTATGTGATAAAGAGTCTCATCTGTCTGATCTATAAAATTTTGAACGTGCAGTATGGTCACGTACACTTAATTTACAAATTATACATTTGTTAATAAAGAATTGAACGTTTAATTGTGTATTTTTGATTTAAATCTCCTTCTAGCGCTTCAAAGTACTTCTTATTTATGAACAGTTTTCTGTTAGTAAGAGATCATCAATTAAATTGTTTATACGCTTTTTTTTCTTCAGTAGATAAATTTTTTTCTATCCTTGATTATTGTTCTTTTGACCGATCATCAAGCATTCGCATACAAACACACAGATTAGGAATCACTTAGAAATAAGTCATTTGTAAAATTAATAACATTTTTGACGTCTATTTTGCTTATCAAATACGTTTCTAATGCGTTTTCTGTTTTCTTACGATTTCTAAAATTTATTTATTTCGGCAAATAAGATATAACACAAATCTTTCTCAAAGAAAATAAAACTATTACTTTCTATTCGGAAAAGAATATCTAAATAATAATGAAATAATTTTATTAATGCTGCCTTTTCTCTGGAGATCGATATCTCGATATCTAAAATAGTTCGACTTTTGAATTTATTAGTGTAAATTTAGAAGAAGAATTAGAGAACATCTTTATTGTGAAAGCCTTTTTATCCTCATACTAATAATATAATATTAGAATTGAATCAATCTGTCATGTCAGATCACGGTTTTAATTAACTTTCTAGAATGGTCCTTCTGATACTTTATGCTTTTTTCACAAAAGATATTTATCTCAATATTTCATACTTCAAATGTTGAATATAGTAAGTATTGCCAATTATAAACTGATTTTTATTTTTGTCCTCTATTGTGTTCTTAATGCAAATTTGAATAGACTCTAATTTAGTATTTGATGATGGTGTACTCGAAAAAAATAATCTTTTTCGCTTATTGGACAAAATCTTTCATATTAGCATTATTAAATCTATATACCTGGATTCTTATAACTTCCGAAAAATATGAATGTGTTTATTATCGTCTTCAAATTACAACAGTTGTCTAACGATATGTCTTTTCTCATATATGACTTGTTTACTTAATTTGTTATTAGTTTCGAATCTGTTGATTTATTTTAGCTGAGTAGATGTCCCATATAGTGAAAATGACTGATTAATCATTAAAAAAACGTCCGATTAATCGTTTGAATATCAAAACTGCGGTAGTTTTGTCGATATGAAGTATTATAGCTAAATATAGAAAACTAATACTTATAAAGATAATCTACTCTATTTCTAACCAGAAGTTTCTAGAGTTAAGTAAATCTGTCCTTCTTTCCTTTTAGAAATATTTCCACTGTAAATTGTTTTAATTACTAATAAACACGCACATCAAGATTCCGACAGAGACGCTTTTTCAAATCTTTTGAGTTTGATTATTATAATTTTGAAGTCAAAATCTACAAAAAGTCGTGTGCAAATTCAAGAGAAAAAAGAGCTTGGAATGTTTCTTACATAAGCAGATAAATGTGATCTCTCAGGCTTTCAGATGGCATTAGTTCTCTTGGGCGCAGTTGTCTAATTAAATTAGTGTGATCTTCATGATTCATCGTAAACAGATGCATCGTTAGTCAGTTCTTCCTGTCATTTCCAGGAATAAAAACTAAAATATCTTCGTAGAAACACGATTTTTGTTCGTTGCATCTAAAATAGAAGTTCACTGTTTAATATATAGAATAAGAATAAATATATCGATCGTTCATCTGTTCTACCTTATTGTACTACAAGTACTTTAATGTAGACTTGCCAAATTATACATATAGCAGTATAATATGATCTACTCTCTTGTGGTATTGTAATGTCCACGTAACATACTTGCGCTCTACGTTTGAAAATGTTTAATGACGCATATTATAAATCATCGTAGTTTTCTAAAAACCTCTTGGAAAACATATTTTTTAAAGATTTTGACTTCTCGCCCTACACAGACATGAATCAGACTCTTGACTATAAATAGCGAATATAAATTCTCTATAAAATTATAAAAAGCATATTCTCAAAAACTAAAATCCCCCATAAAATTCTTTGATATTCACCTCACTTTTTTGTGTTCTTAAATTAAACACTACATTTGATATGATTATGCGTTTATCTCAAAATCAAGTATTTTTTAGCAAAAAGTAGAGGATGTGCGTGTTCACCTTAGCTGATGTGGTTGTGCATAAAAGACAGAGAGAGACTGCATAAATGTGAAAACACGACAAATTATTTTCACTCTTACTACTGAATGAACTTTATTAATTTAATTTCCACTATAGAAAAGAAATATTTTTTTACAGCAATTTCTCTTATTTTGATATGAAATAAAAAAAATTCCCTACACAAATGTTTAATCATGTGTATTATTTGTTCGTTTAAGAAAAATTGATTACATTAATCAATCAATCAGAAACGATACATGATCCCGTTTTTCAGACTAACCAGAACGAAGCTAGATAGATAATTTTGTTGTTGTTCGTTGTTTTCTTTTAAAAAGAAAATTTCGTAGAGTATATTGATTTAACTATTTTAGAAAAAAGAAAATTTTTTTTTTTCTAATTTTGAGAATGTCATTCCTCTTTTCTTTTCTTGTATCATTCCACATTCTTTTTTCTTTTTTTTTATCATATCTTTTTTCGAAAAAGACTTATTCAAAACCAAAACAGATAATTGAACCAACGAGTGAGAATATTTGAACTTGTTATTATATATAGATATATATTTGTAAAGAAATAAACATGTCACGAAAAATGCACAACAAAAGAAAAGAACAACACTACAAATTCAATATATAGACTACTTTCTGTTATTTCTATTATTGAGCAAGATCGGAATGAAGTAAGTGTTTTTTTTTGTGTTTTTTTTTTTTCTGTACAACATTAGAATACAAGAAAGACACTAAAATCATTTTTTTTTTTTTTCGAGAAATAAAAAGAAAGAAAGTGACAATCATATAGTGAGATGGAAACACATCATTAGTTTTTTTCTTCTTCTTCTTCTTTCTTTATATATGCGAGATCTAAGTATTTATTCTAATTGTTTAAAAGTGCAAAAATAATTATCTATTTTAAAAATTATTTTTATAAAAGAAAATTTCAGTTGTCAAGAGAATTCGATTTTTCGAACATCAAATCAAGCAGATAACATAGTCACTACTGTGTTTTGATATATAACAATAAGTCAATGTTATCAAAATCAGAAAACAAGTGTAGTACAAAATTGATCTTGTTTGGTTAGTATTTTCTGTTTTATTTTTCTTGTCGTTTATATCACATCTGATAGTTTTTCGTCATTTATCTAAACACTTTATATGTTAGAATGAACTAACGATAAAAATAATAAATGTTATTTACATAAGATTAGTTTTTTTGTCTTGAACCGAAATCAAAATTCCTTTGATAACTTTCTTTACATCATTTTTTTTATATTTTGGCATTGATTTTGACTATTTTTTGATCAATTTTTTCTAATATTCTCGAGCTAAAAATATTTATATACAAGAATCGAAAAGAAAAACGGAAAATAAGTTGAACTTTCTTCGTGAACATATAAAATACCAAAAAACGTTTTTATTTTATATTTGGAAAAATAGAGAGACTATCAATGATTGATGTTTTTTCTATGTTAATGATAAGAGACATTTGATTGATTTAATGGATCATGCTGTATACTGATGAATTGACAACATATATTTATCAGTTTAATATTTATGTACGATCGTAATGAAGGTGTGACAAAAAAGTTAAAATGTTTTATATTACTATTTCCTTTTTTTTCAGAGATAATCGACAGGGTTAATTTGATAATTATGACAAATTAAAACTACATTAACTAAATAATATTTGTTTTTTTCTTTTATAGGACAAAGTCTTGTTTCAATCTGTATTAGTCTAGTATCCTTAGGCTTTTTTTTTCTTTATAAGAGAGAAAAAAATTCAAGATGTTTTTTTTTTTTTTCTACAACAATAATAACTTATTCTTTTTCTTTTTTTACAGATATAAATGTCATTGAATTTGAAAACTGATTTCCGTCTCTCTCTTTTCGATCAAAATTCAACTTGTGTACATAATCATCTATTAGTTGTCAGAACTACTGATAGATTATAAAGAGAAAAATTGTCAAAAAAAAACAGAAAAATTATATAAGTGGATGTAAATATATTTTTGTACATATTTATGTATTATACAACATTTTGGCGTTCACTTTTATTTAATTTTCCAAAAATAATAACAACACTATGGTCATATCGAAAAAATTTCTTCTTCTATTGATTATGTGTTATCGTAAATGTACTTCAACAACAATTTGTGAAACATGTCAACAACAATATCCAACAAATACGACAAATATGCCTGATGAACAACGATTGTTTTATAATTTAATGAGAAGTTATGAAAAAGCTGTGAGACCAGTAAGAAAAGCAACTGATGCAGTTGTAGTTAAATTAGGAATTACACTCACACAAATAATGGATATTGTAAGTTTTTCTATTTATATGTACTTAACCCGTTTGTGTTCAAATTTATCTAAGAGATGAAGTATCTGGATGGAGGAAGGAGATATAAGAATTTTGAATGGTATATGTACAATAATTTGATCTCAAATCTCCACGATAATATATATAAGAATATATGTCAAAATAATTTGTACAGTCTTCCGTTAGTAACTGTAGATATCTAAAGTGATAATCATTTAAACGATCATAAGCATAAACAAGTTAATCAGATTTTCATAATGTTCATTAATGTTTTTTTATTAATTGAGGACGAACGCAATCAAATAATGACTACTAATATTTGGCTTGATCAGGTAGATAGAGAAAATTATATGCATCAAGTTTTTTACATAAAAATTTTATTTTTTGAATATATTCAGGAATGGAAAGATGTTTTTTTCAAATGGTCACCAGATGATTATAATCGATTAAAAAAATTTCGAATACCATGTAGATACATTTGGTTGCCAGATATTGTTTTGTACGTATATCTTGTTGTGTTTAGAGTTTGATAAACTCTTGTTTACAATTTAATAAATCTTACTTTTTAAGATATAATAGTGCAGATGATTATACACAAGGTTATATGCAGAGCTTAGCCATGATTGAACATGATGGCACTGTATTCTGGCCTCCTATTGTCAAATTTCGTAGTACATGCAAAATCGATATAACATGGTTCGTTCATAACTGAACGATATATTAAAAGATAAATTGTTTCTTGAGTGTTTTTAAGGTTTCCTTTTGATGATCAATTGTGTTTTCTTAAGTTTGGTTCATGGACATACGATTCGACACAAATTACGTTAGTCAATCGATCAGAAGGTGTAGATATGACAAATTATGTTGATAATGGTATTTATGATTTCATATTTTAATAGTTATAGTTTATTTTAGATAAGCATCTTTTTTACTCAGCATTTGTCTGATTCTAAATTGTTTTCTTCAAATAATAGGATATTTTGGTGAGGCTATAATCAGCATCATTCGCTGTACGATCACACCTAGTTTTATTAAATAACAGAAAAGATTCAGTACTATCAAAATCCAATATCTAGTACTAATAATAATGTCAAAATGCTGTTTTAATTAAGAATTTTAAAATTCATTCTTTGTAAATATGGATGCCGCATCGAGTATCCACGATTTTTCGTTTCGTTTTGCCGTCCTTCTTTCTTTGTGTAGTTTATTACGAACCGAACAAAACGGTTTTAGTTAACTGTAAATTCTTTCAACACTATAGAATACTACTAATTCAAAAAATCAGCGACAAAAAGGCATTGCTTTTTACACATTAGTGCTTAGTTTAAAGTATTTTTTACTACTTTGGAACACTGTCTCTTAATCTTCAAGTTTTACTTTTTTTTGTGGAGGTGAATGGAAATTAATCAAATCATGGACGATACAATCAAGTTTAACCTACCCATGTTGTGACGAAACTTATCATGATATCAAATTTTATTTTCATATACGACGACGAACTCTATATTACACGTACAATGTCATAATTCCTTGTATTATGTTATCTATTCTGACTTGTTTGGGTTTCTGGTTACCTCCAGAATCGGGAGAAAAAGTCTCATTAGGATTAACAGTTTTATTGGCGTTTTCCGTATTTATGTTGCTTATAGCTGAAAGTATGCCTGCCACATCTGAATTTATTCCATTGATAGGTGAGAAAATTATAAATGAAATATATTTATTGTATACAGAAGGTTTTGTTCCTATTTTAGGTATCTATTTCACAATTGTTATGGGCTTGACTTCATGTTCAGTATTATTGGCTGTGATGATATTAAATATTCATTTATATGGTTCGTCATTAACACCCGTACCAAAGCTATTGAGAAAATTATTATTCATTAGGATGGCTCCTGTACTCTGTGTTAAACTTCATCGTTCTGTTATAAGTGCAAAAGAGCAAAAAAATTCCAGATCATCAACTCAAAAACGTTCTTCAACCACTGTATACAATGCCGTGTTTCTTAGTGAACAAGATCTAATCAATGATCGTCATACATTTAGTTCAACGTATTTGAATAGTAATCATATTAATACGATGACTGCAACGACCGCAGAGGATATTGACTATAGTGCGTTAAATGCAACAAAGCATTACGTACCAGAATTTAAACATCCTAATACTAATTCAACATCAACTATACATACGCTGCAAGAATGCAAACGTTTATTAGGAGAATTAAACCGTATCATATTGAGTGATAGACCAGAGAAAGTCGAAGAAGACGAAATTATGAGAGATTGGCAAAACGTGGCACTTGTTATTGACCGGTTGTTATTTTACACTTATATTGTATTGACGTTACTTGTTACGTTAATTACGCTTGTTATTGCGCCGTTATTAAAAACAATACCATTATTACCAGAAGAACGACAACTGAATCTAACAAAGTTCACATAATTTAATTTTACTTTTTTTTCTTATTTTGTTAATATTTCTTTTGTGTATTTTTACAACATCCGGCAGAAATCGATCAAGAAGTAAACAGATTTTTCAACTTTCCACCTTAAGCCTAAGGATTTCTTCTCCTTTCAACTCACGAGGGAACCGTTCCAAGTGATTCACCCTGATTTAATTAAAACATTTCCAAATCAAAATAAAGAAACAATAACATGTCACTTTTTCGTTGTTTAGACTAGAAAATTCTGTTTTGTTCGTTAGAACTATAGATTTAAGTGTCTGATGAGGGATCTGTTCCGAGTGATTCACAGCGATTTAATCAAAACATACTTTTTCATCGGTTATTTCTGATGCTGATTACGAATCTGATATTCATTTCGGCCCATATGACTTTCTAGTATAGATCTCCAGCAACCAGGTCTCTTTAGATGTACCCCGCATAGTGGAACGAAGAGATTCGAATATGGCCGGTTTGTAGAGCAAGTCAAGTTACACATGTTTCCAGATATACCAAACAAGTTCTCTCAAAGATGCAAAATGTTTACCTTCATCGCTCGTGGGAACTATAGACATGGTGGTTTTTCTTACATTAAAAATTTTATATCTCTCAGAGAACTTGTTTGGTATATCTGGAAACATGTGTGACTTGACTTGCTCTACAAACTGGCCATATCCGAATCTCTTCGTTCCACTACCCGGGATACATCTAAAGAGACCTGGTTGCTGGAGATCTATACTAGAAAGTCATATGGGTCGAAATGAATATCAGATTCGTAATCGGTATCAGAAATAACCGATGAAAAAGTATGTTTTGATTAAATCGCTGTGAATCA